TATGTTCAAATGCTCCCAATAAATAACAGCTCTTCTCCCACATACAGATACACACACATTTTAATTTGAACCCAAGCTCTGATTCAAAGGGCAGCTTTCAGGATTTGCACATTTATAATTTCTCAAGTGGCAGCTACAGAAAAGTGTAGCTTTTCCATCATTACTAATGGAAGTCTGTAGGATATAGATATATTTATTTTTGATGTATATTAGAAATCTCATATTTTTCTAATAAGATACTTGAAGTTTATGAAGAAAAGAAGCTACTTCCCAGGGGAAGCAGCCCTATTTGGTTTTCCTTCCATTTACAGGTACACATAAACTTATAAGTAAGTGTGATACACAGTTCATAACACCAAATAAGGAACACTGAAGACAAGTGCAGGAATTCAGCAACACACACACTGATACACAATCTATCTCCCTTTCTTTCTCACATGCACATATGTGCTACATATCCCTCAAATGGATGGGGAATGGATGACAAGCAGTAAAAGGTTGACTTTACGTCCAAAAACAGAACTGATCAATTCTGCACAACATGGCTCATCAAGTAATAAATAGAAAGACAAAAGCTTAAGAATGTTCATGTCCATTCTTACCCCCAAACACCCAATGACACTGGGAAAAAAATACTGCATTGCAGCACTTGGCAGCGCATACTCCTATATCTAGCATCCGCTGGCCCACTCGCCAAAAAATGTACACATTACATTTCCAGCAATAATTAAGTTCCTGGTGGCCACATATCACTGGAACTGATGAAGAAATTTGTCAAGGCCAAAGGACTTCTGTCCATATATTACGGCCTCTATCAAGACCGCCAATTCCTTACTTGCGGTACACATAATTTTTTTCTTTTTTTAATTAAAACAAGGCATTAAGATGTCAAAGTCTAAATGAGGTACCACATCTCCTCATGGAAGGATTTGTATTTTGTCTACATATAGGAAGAGAATCTACCCTAAGAAGATAAGTGTAAAGGGGAAAAAATCTAACCAAAGGAAAGGACTTGCACTGAGGAAATCCTTTCATTGTTCATAGTAACTCTAACTTGAGAGAAATACTTCCATCCATCCCAAAATCCTTTTAGAGATGCAGAACACACATACAGAAAGCACCATCCTATGAAATTTCAAATAGATTACTCCCAATAGAAATCCTAAATTTAAAATATTTGAAGACTACCATGTCTCAAATCCTCTTTGCAAGACTGAAATTGAGACTAAAAGACATGTATGCAGTTCATTTTGTTTTTTGTTTTATAAAATATATTTTACTACTGCAGCTGTACAGCAACCTGCCCTTACGGTTGTAACAAAATTCAATATTTAAAAGGCTACAGGGAGAGAAGAAGTTTGAAGGCTTTGTGCAAACCATCAAACAGAAGCAAGCCCATCTATATCTGGCCAGAAGGATGACTTGAAAGAGTGGCAGTTAGGAATGAATGGGGCTAAGAGCCAAATGAATGTTAGTTTTTAAAAACGAGATATTAAAATCATCTTGTACATTAATGGTTGTGAAAGTGAATTTTCAGCTGCTTCCCCACCTGTGTTCATTTGACTCTTTCAAAAATTTAAATAGTAAATAATTTAGCCATTACATTACTATGAGATATATGGACATTCACATCATTAAAACTGTGTTACAGTCAGGTTTTTTATTTTCTTTTGCAGACATATTTCTAATCAGGTTTCTACTTCTTGATAAATGTGCACTCAGCGTTGTGCTTCCACAACGGCACACCTCCACATGCAGGTAGTAGGCATTAATTTTTTTTTTTAAGACAAAGAAGCAAGAAAAGGTCAGTAGCAGAATCACGTGTCTTTTTTACAACCCAAGCCAAGATGACAGTTCTTTCCAAAATTATTTTCCCCTAAGTAAAAGCTGTCAGAAGATACTCAAAATAAAATAAAGGAAACTATACTAGCGAAAAACAAAGTATTCTGTTTTTAAAAGGTAACATTTATTCACTTATCATAGGAGAGCAGGTTCGAGTATAGAACAAAAAATATAAGTTTATTTATTTTTACTTTAAGAGTCAAAACAAAATGTTAAAAACCCTCAGTAGGAAGACAAAACAAAAAGAAGCCTCTGTATGGAAAAAAAAAGAATGGTGGGGGAAGGTGTGGACAGATTTGCAATGGGGAAAGTAAAATTTAAGAGTATTTCAATTATATTTCTTAACCTTGTAATGTATTTCAGTATTTTTAAATCTTTCATTTTGGGGCTTATAATTAGCTATGTGATTATGTATTTATTTTGTTCCCCAGGAAGAAAACATAAAGATCACTGTTTCAGTTATTTTTACTTCCTATTCATCCAAGTAGTGTATTTTTCAGTTCTTTTGGTATCCACCATCATGAGAAAAAGACACTACTAGTAAAGCACACTATGAGAGAGAAAAAGCGAGAGATGCCTGTCACCCAGCGCACGCATGGGTCCCAGACATTCAAAGACACTAGAAAAAAAATCAGCTTTTCACTCAGTTTTTTGCCAACTCCAGAGTCAGGACCAAATGCCAATGGAAAGGAATGGTTGTGAAGGTGCAGCCTGAAGGATCTGTGGCTGAAGGCATGGGGAGAAAAAGGAAGCAAAGAGCTAGAATAGAACAATTCCTTTATTATTTTTTTAAAGTAATCTCTACTTGGGATATAAAATGAGAGATACAATGAACTCTTCAGAACTATAGTATCAACATCTGATTTAGTAAAAATATCAGTATCACCTAACATGAAATCACTGCTAACGGGAAATCTAGTCTACTTATATTTTTCCTATGAATATTTGCTGGAAATTTCTAAGAAATCATTTGTAGAACCTATCAGCTGTGGGAATTCACTATTATGCTTCCGTCAACTTCATTCAATATAATTTACATTTTTTAAATGGCTTCATAGGATTCCTTGAGATTTTTAGCACGTACAATTTCACAGCAGGGAAAAGGGGGAAAAAGCAAAAAAAAAAAAAAAAAAAAAAAAAAAAAAAAAAAAAAAAAAAAAGAAAGAAAAAAAGAAAAAGAAAGATTCCTTCCCCTCCCTTCCCCTCCCCCCTCTTCTTCCCTCCCTCTCTTTTTTAAACAAACAAACAAAAAAGAAAACCGGGGAGACTGAACAGATGCTTAAAAATAGATTTCTAAAAATCACTATAAACCAGAGTTAGAAATGTAATTAACACCTATTTATAAAGAATAATTAAAGTTGGGTTGGTCACAAAGAACAGCAAAGATAATCATGGTCCTGCTCCCCCCTCCCTTTTTACACTGTTTGCAGTGTGTTCTCATGATAGCCACCTGCTCCCTACTCGGCTTCTCCTCTGTTCGTTTCCCCGGCAACCTTTCATTGGGTTTTCCTCCCAGCTATCGCTTTCAGTTGGGCTGCTCGGTCTAATCTTATTTGTTTTACACCCATCAAAACATGCAGCCAGACAAAGGCAATCCTCTAAGAATGGGAAAAAGACCACAGCTTTGTTATAACATCTATGCAGAGAAAAAAGTCCTCCTTAGGCTTCTTCAGAGAAAAATAAGGGAGATGAATATGAATTTACAGCCTTTTGCCTACCCAGCCCTGAAACCCCATAAAAGCTATTGCTGATGAAAATTCAAAGTCAAAGTGGGCACTCGTGGCATCTGATCTTGCCATTTTGTGCCATATCTTCAGGGTCAACATCAGGGAAGAGGTGCGGCACTCAAGGAGTTTCCTTGCTTCCTTTTTTTTTCCAGAAAAAGATGATGCTATAAATAGATTTACTACTTTGGCAGAAAGGTTTTCCACTTTCCTATCCACATCCAAAAGTCCTGTTTCACGATTGCATCTGCTTGTACTGAATCTTACCTCCTCCACCCCTCCTTCCCAGCCTTCCCCATCACTCCTAGCAGGAGACTGAAAAAGAAATGTGCCTTTAACTTTAACAGTCATGTAATTCCACTGAAGGCTCACAGAGGCAGTGGACACGCCAGCCAACAGTGACGGTGACATTGTGATTGTCAAAAAAGACACCAATCTTGCTTGGCTAAAACGTGTGTTAGATGGAAAAGGCAGTCTGTGTGCCTGTGTGCATGCAATGCTATTATACTTGGCGGCGGATTCTGGTTTTCAGAAAAGAAAAATACTAATAAACACAAACGATCACCACAGTGATTTACAATGTACAATCCACCACCCTTACACACACACACACACACACACACACACACACACGCCCGGCCGGAACCTCCAAGCTGCCTTCCTCTTTTCACTTACCATCTTCAAGCCATTCCACTCCATCTGTGATCAGAAGAAGATGGACCCTTACACAGTGTGTCAAAAGCGGAAAGGAACGTTATGTAAAAGCTGACATTCCTTCTTACAGAGCTGCTGCCCAGAGAAGGAAGCAACAACTCAACACGCCAGGCACCGCTACACATACAAGCCGCCTCCTCTTTTTTATGAGGTCATGACAGGAAACTCTTTGAAATACAAGATGCAGCATTTACTGAAGCCCAAATAAATCATACTCTTTGCCGTTTTGACTGCGCAGTCCCCTGAAACACAACTGACCATCTCAGTGTTCAACATTCAGGCAGTACCTCTTGAGGTTTAAATCTCCAGCACAGAAATGGAGAGATTCCTAACCCCGCTGCATTCACCCTCAGCCGCACAAAACCCAGGCATGTAGATAAACCCCTTCTCCCTTACAAAAAGAAAACGCTTCTTTTGCACAATGGTCTCAAGTAATATAATCTCTTTCAACAAACCAGCAATTATTTCAGCCCACCCCCACCCTCTGTCTTTATGTTGAAGGGAAATCTGACAACGACCTGTTAAAAATGACAATCTATCTCCCCACTGTTTTTCAATAAAAGGATCTACCTGCATTCTACACAAAAGATATAGTAAATGCAAGAACCAAACAACAACGGAGAACTCAACTCTTGTGCAAGCATAAGACTGGTCAAGGTGTAGATGCTTGTCTTCCCTCTAGCAACACAAACAACAGATTATAAATCTAATCATACCTACCATAACCATTCTTATTGGCAAATATTGGGTCTTGCAGAGCTTCGACTCTTCTCTTAAAATTTGGAAAGGTTTCAGAATATATTTTTTAAATGACTACGCTTGTTATATATATTTAAAGATCCACAATACACGGTGTGGATGATTGTAAAGTAAATCAATTATTTGGGGGGCGGGGAGAGAAATAAAAAAAAAGAAAGAAAAGGAGCAGTGAGCTGAAACCCCCTGATTCTAGGATGTAGATAAGAACAACTGAACAGAGCCTTGCTGAAATTGGCTCGAAGCTTCCCCTTTTTACATCCATTTATGGGACCATCTGTCAGCCGAAGCCAGAATTTGATTGGCTGGGGAAACGAAGGGAGGCGTTGCAACATCAGGTGCTATTTAAATTAGCTACTGCCAGATTGGCGATGTTAATGATTTGGTGACCTCTACAACAACAGACACCAGATTTCTGAACTGCTTCTTGTGTCTGGTAATTAAGGCCCCGGCTGAAGCAACAACAGCCACACTTGTATTTTTACCTTTTCCTTCCTTTCAGCTCAAAAGTACTGTAACAACTGCAGGTCACTGGAAGCTTGCAAATCTTAACAGTGGGAGTGTCCTTCCTTTCTCCAGTCCTGAGGGATGCAGATTCGATCCCATGGATGGAGGGCTTTTCTGGTGTTGAATTTTTCAACCACCTTATCTTTCTTGATAGTTGCTTTCTAGCGAAATGCATATTTAATGATCTGCCTCTAGGCTTAAAGATACAACAAAAGCACTTTAATGTGCTAATACTTCTATATTTTAACTTTATTATTTCCCAATATTGCTGATTTTTTAGTAACGCTCCTTCTGCAGCTAACATGGCCAGCACTGCTAAAGTATACAAGGTTTGGGACTAAGCTTGCTCTATAAGCTAAGTTCACACAAGTTTGCCTCAGAAAACTATTTTTCAATAAACAAAAAAGAAAAAAATCTGGAGGAAAGAAGGGGGCAGCTGTCAGGCTCTACCTTTCTGTCTTCTGTTTGAGCTTTTCAAAAGAGAATGATGAATGATTTATTTAAATGAATTGATTTCTCAACTTGGTTAGGGGCATGATCTGAATTTTTAAAAATCACTAAAACATATTCTCCCTCTGCTTTCCCTACCATTCTACAGGTAAAATATGCTTTTGAAATAAAACCGTCTCATTTCATTACCTGTGCAGAGTGCTCATCTTAACTAAATAAGTAATTTTGCTTCTGTCCTTCAAATAATGCCTCTTTGCTTTTGGTCTCTTCAAAGATTTGCGAAGAGACATTTAGCCAGTGTGTGGTGATGTATATAGTTTATCTGCTGATGTTATACATTTCACAGCCTCTATGCTACCAAGCTTTCAGTCATAAATATTTTTTTCTTCTGGTCTGGGTTTTTTAAGTGACCTGAGAAGTTTATGCCTTATACCCATGCAAAAGGCTAATTTGCCACTATTTAACTTATTTGTTCCTCAATAAAAACAAAGAGGTAACAAATATCACCAAAATTCAACATAATCTTTGGCTCAATTTGACAGTAAGATAACACTAGAAACAGTAGACACACAGGCTAAAAAACAGCTATTTTCCTGAGTTCAAAATCCAAGAATAAATGTGTTTGTGAAAAGGAATAAGAAAAGAAAATAAGTTTTACATTTTAAAGATTGAAACTATTCTAAGTTACTATTTCATGAATACACATACATAAACATACATAAACACTTTAAAAGGAGAGACACTGTAAGACAGTATCTGCTGTGAACACTACATGAACTATTAGTCTTACACAGAAATAAGTTCGGCTATTAGAAATGAAAAGACGTAGCATATGAAAAAAGCAAAAATGTTAACACTATAATTCTTTCCTGGGGAACAACACTGGTTTAAGTACGCTCTTAAAATAATTTCTTTAGCAAATCTGTAAAGCGTCCCATGAGTTATAATAGTTATATATAATATCTATTAAGTGTTTATTCAGGATGAATTCACAGGTAAAGTGCTCTACATGACTCAACATATGTACACAGGGTAGGTGCATGTGTCTCAAATCAACAACAAAAACTGAGTGTGATTTCACCAGTATCAAAATATTGTGAAAAGTAAATATTAACATAGTGCTGAAAAACATATAAATTGAAACAGCTTACTTGGAACAAAATATTTACTTGGTATTTCTCTGTAGTTTATAAAAGATGGAATTTCTAAAAGAAAAAAAAATCATTTTCTCTCATCCATTCTAACCTCAGCACACTTGGTAAGCCTAAATCAACATAAGGTATATCAAAAGATATCTAGGCCACTTTTCTGAAATAGTAACTGTATATTGCAGTATAAATCATTAGCTGGCTTTGCCAAGCTAAAAATCCATGCAGTTTGTATATTGATCACTTCTCCAAAAACCTCCACTCTAGTCTTTCAACAGAATCCTCAAACAAATGCACAAATGTCCTCAGAGGCCTTTTCTCTAAAGACAAAGACAGAATCCTATTGTTGGGAAAAGTCAACCTTATTATTGCATTTCCAATAGTACCATTCATCTTCCAGAGTGAGGGGATGACCACTACTTCAGTGGTGTGACATCTGTAAAGCAACAGACTCTCAATATATTATCTCAAGAATCAGTTAGGTGAATCTCCCAGTCACGCACAATTTTTTTTTTCCGTTACAATCCTCTACCACCACAGAAAGAAACTTGTTTCACTCAAGCAGCTAAGGCAACCTAAAAATGATATCCCAGAGCTTTGGGGTTGCCAGCGCCGCCGCTGTATTCCTCTTACCATAAAAGAGCAGTTTCTTGACTCATTAATAACAATTTCCCTTAAAAGAAGTAATCTCATATCAGTCTGCCCCTCGCCACCATGCACACATCCCAAAGGTTGCAGATATCTCAGCATCAGTCGCCGGCGGCCAGCTTTCCCACACAGAGTCCAGATGGACTGTACCAGAAGCCAATTCAGCGTTAATAACTACCTACTCCGCGCAGTGGAGAAGCCTTACGTGGCACAATGGGCTAGGAAACAGCAGCCGGCTGAAACTGAAAAAAAAAAAAAAAAAAAAAAAAAACCA